TCTTATAATATTACCTTTAGGAGAAATATGTCTGCTTCTTCTGCCTCTGGTTATGATTGTGCTATACCTCCATCTGTTCTTTCTCATCCCTCAAAAAGAAATGCTGTTAATATTATTCAGTTTAGCAATAAAATTGCAAATAATTTCTCTGTAATTTGACATACTGATGGCAAATTTGGTTTTTCATTTGTTTGCAAGTTGGTTTCACATTCAGAAATTGTCTTGATTTGAATACTTTCAATTTAGAATTCGAGATGCATGCACGGCTTTTATAGCTGAATTTTTGTGTTTAAACTTCATAGAGGTTCTCTAAACAAAACACTGCTGTTTAGACTATCTCATTTCTATCGATTCCCTTTCGTCCTTGGAGGCCATAAAATGTATTTCTCCTTCTAATAATATAAGTGTCGAGATTCAAAGACAACTAAAAACCTACAAGATAAAAACATTTCGGTTGTTTTTGCATTTGTTTGGGGACATACAGGAGTTATTGGGAACGAGCAAGCCAATTTTCTTACAAAGATTGCTTCAAGTGGGAAATTGACATTCTTGTCAATATCCCTAAATCCTTTTATAAGAAAATCTTGAATGGATGATATTGTGGAATAAAGAATACATTAGTTCAAGGGAACTTAATTAAGAGATTTTTTTCCCTTCCATCATTTTTCGCTTTAAATCCTTGCCATCATTTTTTTTTTTTACAAATTATAAAATGGCCCAGTTCCTTACTAGCCATGGAAACTTTAGAAGTTAACTGAGCAGATTTAAGTTGGGTTCAAAGATTGTTTGTGATTGCAGCAATTGCGGCAAGGAAAATGTTGAACATGTGCTTCTTCTATGTTTCAAATATGACAGTGAAAGAAAGATCTGAAAACTGGCAGTGAAAAATATTAATATTAACTGGCCTCCAGATTTTCATCAGTTTATTTCCGAGAGACGTGCCTTTGACTGTTTTTGTCAGTTCATTGTAAATTTTTGTAATCTTCATTTATTTGCTTTAAATTTTCCCTTTATTGTTTATTATTTTGTATTATGTTTCATACTTACATCTGTAAGCTCCATGTAATACTTTGTGGTATATGAGGAATTCTTTGTGTTTTTAGTAATATCTGTAATGCAAGAGGAATGTTTTAATTTACATTGCTGGTCTCCCACAAAAATTCCAAATGGGAATCAAAAGTATTTGGCCTTAATTGGAATAATACCTCTGATCAACTGAGCTGTGCTTTGCCAGAGACTTTAGTGAAATTCCAAAAAAAAATTTACAAAAAGAAATTTACTTTCTGTGATCAACAGCACGTATGATCCCATCAGTTGTTCAGCAATGTTGTTACAAGAAGCCTGGAAAAGAAAACTTAGTTGGGATAAACCACTCCTGGAAGATCTATTGAAATGTAATGAATGGTCAAGCCACCTATCTCTTGAACATTTTCCTTTCACCGACAGATGTTGCTAAGATAAAGTGAAGCTGAAACATTGCATATCTTTTCTGATGCATCTGCAAATGCATATGCTTGTTGTGCATTCTTGCATTAGGAGGAAAAAAAGCTGCAGTATTACTGCATTTAGTATCTGCAAAAGTCTGAGTAGTCTGAGTCAATGAAATGGCCTACTATACCTAGAAGAGAACTTCTCAGACCTATCATTGTGGCATGATTAGCAAAGATTATTTTAGAACATATAAATTTACCTTTAAAAACATATTTTTACATATAAACAGCTAACATTCCGTAAAGCATTAGATCTCTCAACTAATAGACAGATAATTCCCTTAAAAAGGAAAGGCCATCCTGTTCTAGCTTCCAAAGCAAAAGGGTGGTGATTCCAGATGATATATGCTAGATTCCAATGTGGGAATCGTATGCCAAAGATGGTTTCTTCACTAAAGAGACAAATGTAGGAAAATTAGCACAGAAGGCCCAAGAAAAGAGGACCTGCTATATGTGCAGTATGGGATGTACCTTGTGCATTGCAACATGTTTCTCATCTTTTTCACGGCAAAATAATTGCCTTTAGATTGAATTTTCTCTATGACCATAAAAGGTCCCGTGGGAAGTATACTTCCCACCCCTAGAATTTAAATGTAAACAAAAAATTTGGCAAAATAAAATATATTTTCTTGAATGCTATTGTTTAGTTGATAATAAAACAAAAAAAAAAAAAAAAAAAAAAAAAACAGGAGAAAATCAAAAGAGAAATAAATGGCCCACGAAACTGTTAAGAAAAGAGAAGCCAAACATTTCTATATCTATAAACAGTGACGAAATAGAAAGAACAATCAATAACTAAATAAATCAATAATAAAAATAGAAAGGTCCATAACTTAATTTATCAAGTTTTTCTGATAAATTAGGGAATGGGGATTAAATTAGGAATGAGGGAATGGTCAGTAGAAGACAAGAAGAAATATGAAGGATCAATGAAGTTCTACGAGGATGAAGGACTACTGAAGGTGAAAACTTGGCTTATCTTTGGAGATGGCACTGATGATTTTTAGTGTACTATAGTTCTACCTGATCATCCATTCGTTCAATGTTTAATTGAGTTTACACATAGGTGTACAAAAAATCTTATCACATCTGAGAGGGAGGTTCTGGATGCCTCATGGGTGGAAGATTATTCATGAGAGTATATCTGGTTGCATTACGTGTTGGAGACATTCATCTGAAGCCATAGTTACACAAACAGCTCCACTTCCACCTGAAAGATTGCACATAGTTGCACCTTTTAAAGTAGCAGGTGCAGATTTAGCCAGTCCTGTTTTCCTTCAGTTAGAGGTGAAGGCTTGAACCATCCTATTCAGCTGTGCTGTGCATCGTGCGGTACATTTAGAGTTAATAACTGCATCGACTGCAGAAGCTTTTATTCTGTCTTTGCAAAGATTCATGACTAGAAGAGGCAAAGTTTCAATCATCTACCCTGATAATGGGAAAAAAAAAAAAAAAATCGTGGGCACATCAAAGGCAACAATAGATGAGAGTGTCATTCAAGAAAAGAGCACACTAAAGAAGATAAAATGGAATTTTAACCCATCAGTTGTACCATGGTATGGTGGGAGTGTATGAAAGATACACAGTATGAAAGATCTACTGAAAAGAATTCTTGGCGGAGCTAGTCTAAATTATGAGGAAATATCAACTGTTTTATTTGATTTTGAGAGTACAGTCAACAAGGACAAGATGGGAAACGATGAGTAGCTTGACTGAAATTGATAAATGCAGAAATTATCCATCCCTTTTAATGGTTATATCCTTAGAGATTGCATCATCACATTTAACCCTTCAGGACAAAGCTAAAACCTCGGGGCCCAGTTTATACCCTCAAAGGAAAAAAAATTCATTACCCAGTGATGATGATTCAAAACTGTATCCTTCACACTTGACATTACACAGTGATAGAACTGTTTCAAGTCCTGAGACTCGAAGGGGGCAACGGGTAAATCAACCCCAAAGTCTGAATTTATGAGTAACTTTGACTAAAATGTTTATGGCAGATTGCAGTTTTTAAGCAATACATCAGTTTTGTCTTGTAATATCTAGATGGTGTCTGCCGAAAATGTCGCAGAGAAAAAAACGCAAGGCGGAAACGTCATTCTACAAAACATCGAGGAAGAAAAGAAAGCAAAGAGAAAGCATCACAATTCTAAAACGTGGTACAAAACATCGTGGTAAAAAATAAAGCGGTTCAAAACTTTACAGTTTAAAAAATATCATTGTAAAAAATAAAGTACCTACAAATCATCACATGACGATAACATCGCAGACATGTGTTTTCAGATTTTAAAATTTGTAAATGCATGTTCATATAATGATTTGGGATTGCAAAAAGAATTCTTTTACTTACATTCATATTTTTGAATGAACTAATAAATTTTAAGGAAACCTAAGAATTTAAATGTTGAAAATGAGTAGAAAATTAATGCAACTTCTAAAACTTAAAAGAATTTTAAATTTACATATTTAATTAACAAAGGTCATTCATAAATTAAACTTTTCTCATAAAGTTTTACTGATAATTTTTTTTTATGAAAAATACAGTCTAAGAATGCTTAGAGAAAGGAAGATAAATACTCGCATGAGGTTACCTCCATAAAAATTGCTTAGGTAATTATAGTATTATTTTCTTTCACATATTTTAATCTCATATTGTTTTAGTGAAAATTATATTTTGTTTTGTTTCAATTTATTGTTAAAGATTCGTCAACATTTTCATGTATAGCATGCAGTCAACTTTTTGGATGCCGATTTGTTAGTTATGATGAAAATCAGTTACATAATATGTCAGTAAGGTATTTGAAAAGCGCATGTGTGCGGTGTTATTGTCATACGATGAATTTTGGTAGCTTTATTTTTCATCGTGATATTTTCGATGACAATGTTTTTAAGCTGCAAAGTTTTTGAACCACTTTATTTTTGACCACGATGTCCATGATGTTTTAGAACTGCATTTTTTTCTCTTTGCTTTCTTTTCTCCGGGATGTTTTGTACCAAGAAGTTTTCATCTTGCATCATTTTCTCTGCGACATATTTGTCTGCGATGTTTTCATCCGCAATGTTTTCGTCTGTAACCTATCTAGGTGTACATGACAAAAGGTGAGAGGACGTTGTATATCGATATTCATTGTTATTGAGTTTAGAAATGGGTTTTTATTTTGTATGTATCCATAACAATGAGATATTTTATAATATAGAGAAAATGTTTTAAGTAACTTGTGATAATATCTGAGCCTAAGTTAGTAAAAGTGGTTGTAGTATAAAATAAAATATTTAGTTTATGACTGTATGAAGCTACTGCGTTAGTTCTCTTGAAGAGTTACAATGATTAGAATGTATTAATGAATTAGTTTGTTACTGAGAAAAATTCATTATACTTCTTACTTTCATTCAGTATATGTTAATCAATATTTGTACTATTTAAAATATATTCCAATTTGAATGCCGAGTGTATTTTTATTACTAGATTTTAAATTGTGCAAATGACTTGTATTCTTTATTAATTAGGTGGTCAGCATCCGGGTGATATATCCTGCATAACATCTGATGCTTATTTGGTTTTTACTGCATGCAATAACATCGTTTATGCATGGAGGAGAGGGAATGAAGTATGAATACATTTCCTTTTTTTAATTAAAAATTATCTATGTTTATTTCAATTGAAAAGCAATCAATAGTTTAAGAAATCTGAATAAATATAATTCCATATGTATGTTTCTGCGTAATTGCGGAAATAAATTATTCTGCAGCTTGTTTCATTTCTTAACCTTTTGATGCACGGTGGTCGCACCTTGAAAACACCAATTTTTTAATTTTTTTCTCCTCTTCTTTTTGAAATTTTTGAGTGAAAATCAATTGATTACTGATCTTTTACCTCTAAATAACACAAAATGAGTGCAGAATCATGCATATTTTAGGTCTTAGTACTTCAAATTGGATGCCTTTTAAATTCGTTTCAATGAAACAAAATAACCTCCTTTTATTAATATAAACAACTTTAAATTAAAAAAGTTATTCATCGCACATCATGATTTCTATCATAAACAATAAAAATATCAATAATTAAACTGCATACATAAAGAAATCCCTCTATATGTATGGCAATTGCTTTGTGGTTTCAGGGCGCGACCACTGCACCATTAGAGCATTGTGTCACAATGCTCACAATGCTCTAGAAGCTTGGTAGTGGCACCTTGAAACCACTGCTTTTCACAATGGTGTTTGCTTGCTATCAATTAGGAATGTTTATTTTTACCTGGATATAGATAATGGATTTTTAAACCACAGAGTTATTTTATTACTAAACAATACATGAACCTGCCCAGTCTTTCTTTTCCAGAGGTATTTTCTCTGACCTCAACACACTTGCTGTCCAAGCTGGTATTGTGATTTTATAAATTATTTCATGTGGTTTAAATTTAATGTAAATATACTTTGCTATAATTAAAAATAGAAATCGCGTAAAGTTTTATTTAAATTAAAATATTTTCTGAATATTTTGGGACGAAATACGAATAAAATAAATATGAATGGGAAACGAATGATCCGTACCAAAGCCAAAAAGACCAAGCACCTCCTCTCATTAACATAAAAACCACAACTTTCATGTGCCAGATGAAAAGAAACTAAATAACGCTGAACATATAACAGTGAAATTTAGATCCAGGCAGTGTACCTTTTGTAGCACAAGGAAGAAACCTCATAGAAGAAGATACATGTGCGAAACAGGCAGTGTGGGTCTATGCATGTACCAAAATGACAAGACATGCTTTGAACAGTGTCAAAAAAAAAAAAAAAAAAAAAAAAATTGTTCTTTGATTTAAAAAAAAAAATGTTTTTTTTTATTCATATTTTACTGAGTTTTTTATCCATTTAGCTAAACGGGCTTATTATGTAGGTACTTATATTTTCACTGCTATAGAAAAATTACATAAATGTTTATTTTAAAATTTTTCCTGACGATTTACTTTGTAAAATAATGTAAAAGATATATATAATTATATATAATGCAATTCTTATATACATTTTTTCTTAAGATTCGTAAATTTCATTATTTATTGGAAATGTGCACGGAGAAAAGTAAGTTTTTTCCCCCTACTACCTCAATAAGTTTCAAAGTCCTAGACGCGCGGTGGTTTCACAGTGCGACCACCACCCACAGAACAATGGGCAAGAGAAGATTTTTTTAATACATATATTATTTGTCTCTAGGATCATAATATTCAATTTCTAGAGTTTTTAGTTAAAAAAATTATAAAAATAATATTGTGCGTATCAAAGGGTTAAATTACCTAGGTAGTTTGCACGATACCTTATAGGCACTCATTAAAGTGAAAATAAGATCTTTGCTGGAACAGCAGCAACATTTCTGTATGCTAAATTAACATAATGTTATAAATTTTTTTGATATCTAAAGAACAAATTAATGCAATCAAACAATCGACAAATTAGTTGATAGAATCAATCATCAATGAATTAAAATCTTTAATACAAAAAAAAAAAAATGGTTTAAAATATTATTACTATTAAGGAAATTAACATAATATTATTTATTTATTTTTTGATATCTAAAAAATCAAGTTAATACTATAAGCTATTTCTCTTGCCTTCTTAGCATGCCTTTGTGGTGTAATGTCAGCACACTTGGCGCTTTTCCGAGAGGTCCATGGTTCAAGTCCTGGCAAGGGCATCACTCATTTTTCATCTCTCCTGCTAAACATACATTAGGTTAATAATGTCTACAGTGGTGCCCAAACTAAAAGCCTGGTGGTTTATGCTTCTTCACTATGAGGATTTGGCGATTGGGTCCCTTAATGCCCAGTCACCCTTTAAAGGGGGTAGTATGTAAGGTATTTCTCGTGCCTTCTTAGCATGCCTTTGTCGTGTAGTGGTCAGTGTATTCGGCACATATTCGAGAGTTCCGTGGTTTAACTCCCAGCAAAAGCACTGCTCATTTTTCATATCTCCTGCTTTCAAAAATCCTAATGTCTTTACAAAACAATCAAACAATCAAGAAATTAGTTGATAGAATCAATTTTCAATCAATTAAAAACATTAATGCAAAGAATCAAGTTAATCTAAAATACAAAGAATAAAATGTTACCAACAAATGCCAAGAACCAAACGTTGGGTCTATCAACTAACTTGTTGATTGTTTCATTGTATTAACTTGATTTTTTTATGTATTTAAAAATAAATGAATAACATCATGTTACTTTAAGCATACAGAAACGTTGATTGTATTCTATTATGTATTATTATTTATTTATGTATCAAAAAATAAATGAATAACATTATACAATGTATCAAAAAATAAATGAATAATATTACTTTAAGCATACGGAAACATTGCTTATGTTCCAGCCAAGATCTTATTTTCAGTTTAAAGGGTGATTGGTAGGCAATTTACAGATTAACGAGTGTCTAGTAGGTAGTGTGCAAAGTGGATGGAGAGGAAAAATAAATGAGAGAAACAAACTTTTGAACTTTATCGATATGGAAGCCATCAATGTGCACATTACTTAGATAAAATGCAAAAAACTATTGATTCCATGCTTTAACGAAGTAAATCAGTTAATCTGCAGATTGGTTAGCTAATGTGCACATTAACGACTTTCAAACTTTAGCGGTAATATATATATTTCTTGAATTACTGACTTTTAAAATATTGTATATTTGTGTTTCGGTGTATAATGTCCTAAATTTAAAATAGTTATTGTGTCGTATTAGTTTTTGCACAGAAAAATTTCAGTAAAATGTCTTGATGGAATTTTTCCTAGTAAAAATAAAATTATGTTTATTTCTCGTTATTATTATTTTTTTTTTTATGAAAAGTCAAGAATGAATTTTTATCAACCTGTGGTTAAGCAGCTAAAACTATAAAGCACCTATTGTATTCTCATCACCCTTGGTTTTGTTCTTGTTGGTTGAACAGGCCATCTACATGAGCTTTTCAAGATTTTCCTTATGTGTATATGTAAATAAGAGTAGCTTCTTTAAAAAAGTTTACTAGGAAGACATCTTCCTTCATAGCTCCATTATGGTTTTGCCACAATCAATCAATTCTACATGGAATGAATTGTCTTTTGAAACATATCAAACATGAATTTTGAAAAGTATTTTCTGATGTGTATTCAATATGATAGTACAAAACTAAGTAGCTATATCTGTAAAAAATAATCTCTTTATATACTATATTAAAGTTTATATAAATATGTTTAATAAACATAGTTCATAAATATATTATCGTAGAAATATTTTTAAAAGTATCATTATCTTAAAAAGTTTTATTATTTTCTTTTTGTTGGAAAATGCAATTGAATCTTGATGACGCAAAAGTAAAAGAAATGGAAAAAAATTGAATTCAATTAATCAAAAATTTGAATATTGAGACCAGTTAGCAATTTTGAATTTAGTATTTCAAAGTTATTTGACCGTTTAAAATTTGAATACTCAAATTTCTACTATATTTTATCTAATATTCTCTTCTTTATATATTTATGTGCGAGTTATAAATTATATATTTTGCAGTTGAAACATACGTATAAAGCACCTTCAAATGTTCATTTGATGCTTACTTTTGGGCCCCATTTATTAGCAGTTTATGAAGACAATACACTTCTTGTATGGGACATCAAAGAAGAAGGTTGTTATTCAGAATCTGACTTTTTTAACTTTTAAAATTACTGTATTCACTTATTTATATTTTTATAAAATGTATGCTTTCTGTTACTTGAGAAATAGAATATTATAAAAAGCACTTAGACATTCATAAAGATTTGGTATATAGTATTATTATTTAATTTAGATGCTTATATCTTATATATAACCCTTAAATTTAAGAAAAATAAGCATGTATTCTAAAAGCATATAAATTATATGTTGTTGCATTCTTATGTATTAAAAGTAAAATTTTAATGATTTATACCCAAAAATAGCCAAGCATATGCTAGCCTTTTTCCCTCTTTCAATGCAATTTTAGCTGCTACTAAGATTTTTGTCACTCACTGCTTCGAAAATTGTACTGCTCTTAAAATTCTATATCTAGTGTGGCTAGATTTGTTGCATTTCTTATGGTGCTGACCCTGAAGCAGAACATAGTAAGATTTTAACATATTGCAGTGACTATATGTATAAATACTTGAGTTAATTTGTTTTAAATACAGCAGAGAGGGATATAAGTGTAGGCTTTGAAAGATCAAAATTAAAGCTTTGGTGATTCGTTAATTTGTACAGTTTGTTCTGATTGTTTGTATTTTTATTGTTTGTTGCTTTTTGTGTAACCATAATCCCCTTTTAATTATAAATTCATGTTATTTAAAGAGCTTTAAAAGATGAAATTGAGTTAAATATGAATGTGTTAATTTGAATCAATTTTAGAAAAAATTACAGCTAACTGAAAATTATAAAAGCTTCTGGTGGATTTATGTGTGATTTCGGGGGAGGGAGAGACAAGAAATTTTAAGTATTTGCACATACACACACAAAAAAGGGGGGGGAGAAGAAAGAAAGAAAAAAAACTTATAATGTTTATACTAAAATGTATGTTGTTCTTTCTTTTTATTTAAAAAATGTGTGAAAGTAGATGGAAGAAAACTAAAATTTATTTCATCAGATAAAGCTTATGCTGCTGATTAAGTGATCTTTTGTGAGATATATGACAAAAACAAGAGAATTATTTCTATGTAACATAGTATACTACAATAAATTACAGATATTTAACCCATTTTAAGGAATTTTCTGATTATTTGCACCCTTACTGAATTCTTTAGCAACTTTGGAGAGTGTATCAAAACTTGCTGCCAAATAATTTTTTACTAAGCTAATGTCCAAAAGCCAGCAGCCATTTTCAAAATGGTAGCACAGAAAGGATTTCACACAAGAATAATTGACCAATAAAATAAAAAATCAAGAAACATCAATAATAAAACACTTTTTTTAAGAAAGCCTTCTTTTTTGCTATTGTTCTCACCATATACACAGCAATCTCCTTTTGCTTAAAAAAAATATTGGAGAATTGCACAAACTCAGCTTTTGTGCAATCTGACATCGTGCACCATCCAAAACAAACATTTGGTGTGCACTTATCTGGGTTACCACATAAGTCCTTTTTCATGAGATTTTAAAAAAACTTCAGTCATCTTTTTTTTTTTTTTTTTTTTGTAAACATATAATATGGGAGATAATGCATGAGTGCATAATATTATGTACCTTTGACTATGAATTTAAAAAATTACCCTATTTTCTATTCAAGTGAGCAAAATACAGTACAAAGTCGGTAATCTGAACTCATCGGAACTTCAGCGATTCCGGATTAGGGGTTTTTCCGGATTATAGGTCATCAATTTAATTCCGGTAAGATGGCATGCAGAAATTATACAATTAAAAATATGAAATCGTAATTTATGAAATAAAGAACAATATGATCTAAAGGGTATCAAAATTTACAAAAAAAAAGCTTAATATTTTATTTGTTTACTTTATTAAACATTTCTTTCAACGTAAGTTGTTTAAGACGCTTCCACAAAAATTCAAAAAGTTCCTTTTTCTTGTGTCATATATAGTAGATTTCCAATGCTATACTTCTCACATAATTTTGAGACGGATAGGCCTTTATCCATTTTTTGCAGCAATTCCACTTTTTGTTTAATGGACATCGAAACATGCTTTCACTTTGTAGATCCTTTGGCAGCTCCAGAATTGGAAACTCTTTTTGACATAATCAAAAGTTCAAGCTTAATTTTTATAAAATTGTTCCAACAGTCTGCAAACAATAATAAGCCGCATCCAATTAGAAGATTAAGAAGCAGCACAATCTGCAACATTAACTTAAATGCCTTAGATAATTTTAGCCTAGCTTATACCATCCATTATACATTAAACATTGCGTTTACGCATGCTCATAAAGTTTGTAGCTTTGAGGTCCGGATTATAGATCATTCTGGATTATGGATGTCCGGATTACAGACTTTGTACTGTATGTCATAAATAAGGTAAATTTAGCATTTGGGAATTTTTGACAAACAGTTTTCAAGCTAAAAGCTGGGACACATGTCCCATCCGTAGTTAATGTGGAATACATAGTATGTTCCACATGTAGTGATCGACTTACTATAAGCACACCTATTATTCTGGAAAACGTTATTATATGAGATAGATTTACATTGTATTGTACAGGCTATTTATTGCATAACCCAACATTACACATTGGGCAACTTATATTTATTCTTTTCTCTATGTTCATTTGTGTACAATGGGCATAGCACCATCTTGATTTTCCAACTGTTTGAAGATGATTCCCTGCATTCAGGAGATTCTAAGTACTTTTTAACCCAGCAGTAATTTTTAAACTTTTAGTGGGACATATATGTTCCATTAGTAGTCAAAAGGTTAAAGTTTTACAAATGATATTTAGCTGATCCATAGTGTTTAACACATTAGAGCATAACTAGGAAAATAGCTCACCTGAGATACTTTACAATATCATTTTTTTTAAAATTGCTATTGAACATTAATGCATCATATCCCATATGAAATTTATTAGAATTATTTTCTTTCCATGTTCTAACAGTATATATCTTATTTTATAATAAAGCATTTAAAATTAGCATTCTGCATATAGAAACAAAGTAGTTTTTTTATTTTTAATTATATTAAATGTCATTTTCTAATTAGAAATTTATTGTATTCCTAGTTGTGGCTGTAGAAATACCAATTGCTAACATTACTGTCTCAGCAATTGTTCATCCAAGTACATACTTGAATAAAATTTTGCTTGGAAGTTATGAAGGATGTATGCAGTTGATAAATATTAAAACTTGTAATGTAATTTATACATTTTCTGGCTGGGGATCTCCAATTGTAGTATTAGAACAGGTAATTTTTTTAATCTGAAATTTGTTTTTTTATTTATATGAAGTAAATTTTGTAATTAGTTTTCAAAAGAACTTATTTGGCGGGATATGTAATCATATTTTTTGTGTATTATTTCATTAAGTATTTTTTTTTTCTTTCCTTTTTTTCATGAGAAGTTTTTTTAACAGTCATTCAAAAAATGTGGAGATTAGCAATTTTTTTTTTCTTCTGTCTAGGCTCCAGCTGTGAATGTTGTAGCAATAGGCCTGGAAAGTGGTGACATCTATATCCATAATTTGAAGTATGATGAAACAATAATGAAATTTTCTCAAGATTGGGGGCCTGTTATTGGAATTACATTCAGAACTGGTATATACATATTTCAAGTAGTGCATTATTACTGATTACATTATTAAGAAGAGAGGAAAAATTTATTGTTATTTTTCATTTTTAGGAATTTTAATCAGCCACCTGTGATGAGGATAATTTTATGGCATAGATTAATTACTGAAAATCAACTTGCTTCAAAATTTTTAAAGTGGGTTCTTAAAAAAATATTACAATTGGTTGTTTCCTCATCATACTGGAATAATTTTTTGCATTAAAAATAGTTAATATTAAAAAAAATTAATGGTTTCACATATTTAACTGGTTTTCAAATAATGAGAATGTCTTAATATGCATAAGCTTATTAGCATTATATGAATGAAAATTTATGGGTTCTCCTTTCCATTTGGCTTGTTATTAACTTTTCATTGAATATAAAATTAAGATTTATTATAATAGAAAAATCAAGTTAAATTAAAAAAAAAAAAAAAAAAAAAAAAAAAAAAAAAAAAAAAAAAGGTTGTCTTTTATTTCATTATGTGTCTGCAAGAAACTTAGCCTTTTGAAGCAGTTAATGTAATATAAGAGAAAATTTTAAAGCAATGATTACCTTCCTTTTTTTGTGCAAGTGCTGACGGAATGCAAGGGATGATACCTCTAGTTAAAGGAAACTCATTGAAATGAAGGTGTTTCATAAAGTGTGAAAATCTTGCTATTGAGATATAAAAGAAATAAAAATAAAGGTTATTTGTGGCAGACATTTTTACGGAATGGCTTAAGAAAATGGTCAAAATGTAATATAAATAACAAAAATCAAAATTCCAATAATAACAAAACTGTAAATTATACTTTTTGTGGACCAACATACCACCCATCCACAAGAGAGCCAATCCACATGGGAAGGATTAGCATTGTAGAACATGTGCAGATAATAGACTTCTGTAATGTCACATTAAAATCAGTGAAGAAGAGAGGATGGATTTTCCATATGGAATCATGTTTTCTCCTTGTTTATTTACCTAGAAGTGTAGAATATGCCTTGTATAAGAAAACTGAATGTACAGCAAAACGAGTTCAGATTTGATTGCAGAAGCATAATATAACTGCAGACATACCTGCCAACTTTCCCAGTTTTCCGTCCTGTTTCCCAATCTTGTTGATCACCATCTCTCTCTTTTTTTTCCTCCTTAACCTTTAGTCTAAAGATAATGTTACCTGGCAATAAATAAAGTTTATTGAATTGATGAAACTCCAATTGTGCAAATTCTCTTTGTCATTTTCAGTGTTTGCCAGCATAACTTTAATTTTTTTTTATTTGTTTTGAATTGTCTTTAATCTACTATAGGCATTTGATGAACCTTTTATGGAGATTCAAGTAATGTTTGATCAGTTAATATTTCTATTTAATTTTATTGGCATCAAAATATGATACATTACTAAGTTTATTCATACAATAGAATGTACATTTAGTATTAATTTTGTTTCCATCATATTTAAATAAATAAAAGTTTTCTTTACTGAGGATTTTCACTGTGTAAAAGAGTAAGAAAATTGCAAAATGAAATTAGCCATAAAATATATAATTAAACGTTGTTTCACATCAGAATCATATTATTAATAATTGAGTAGCCTACATTATGTATTATAAAGTAAATTTAAGTCAGTTTGGAGTGCCATAAAAATGGTGTCACCTCACAGTACTGGAAATCCCCAGTTTATCATATTTCAAGACTGGCAGCTATGCTGCAGATTATCATACTGCGGCATTGCTCCTTTTGCTGATTCAAATATGTCATCTTGAGAATCACAGACTGTTTCCATGGATACTATTGTTTTACCTACCATTAATGGTACAACTCTGGTGTTTGTGTCAACAATATAACATTGAGCAATGCACAATGGTATGCTATCAATCCCATATCTACATGCAGTATCATAACGAACATGTGTGTATATGGTGTTACATTGGGTTTATTTAAATCTTTTTTTATGCCTCCTCATACTGTTCAGCCTTAGAAGATATGGCATGATGTTTGATTGGGTATGGGTGACACTTAAATCTGGTATGCCAGTAGTGTACAAATGAGAGAGCTGGCGCAGTGACCTTTGGGGGCGAAACAATGACTGCGAAACCCTCCATTAAAATCGAACCCACTTTTAGAATGTGATGGCTCTCCAACCCTCCATAAAAATTCCACCCACTTTTAGAAAACAATGGCTCTCCAACCCTCCATAAAAATTCCACCCACTTTTAGAATGTGATGGCTCTCCAACCCTCCATAAAAATTCCACCCACTTTTAGAATGTGATGGCTCTCCAACCCTCCATAAAAATCGACCCACTTTTAGAATGTGATGGCTCTCCAACCCTCCATTAAAATCGAACCCACTTTTACAAACGCTACTTTTCCAAAACGCCGCTTTTACAAACGCCACTTTTCCTCTTCATCGCATGCTTCTTTTGCAAGGGAACATTCGTCCCCCACATAATCCACTGGCATGGTATATTTAGTGAGGGTATTAATTTATACCATCAGTGCACCATTATGTATGGCTTCTAGAGCGTCAAAGGAGAGACAATGGGTAATTGATTAATAATACCTAGTGAATAATAAAAGCATTTAAAGAGATGCATTTCTATATGTAAAGATGGAATTGTTACAAGAATTAAACACATTTAGTTCTCTCAATGAGTCTCAAGAAAATGAGCGAACTTAATATCAATGAAAAGTATCCGGTTACAGAAATTAGAGAAATAAACACAAAGTATTTACCATACTTTGTGTTTATTTCTCTAATTTCTGTAAAACATAATAGTCCATTTACCTGAGTGTGTTGTATCTTTACCGAAGCGATGTGATAACAAAGCATCTGATTATTTAAAGCTCAATGGCATTAAACCTCTTTATTTTGTTTATTTAGGAAGTAAAGATGTCGGGAAAGCCCAACCTGGAAACATGTTTAAATTTGAGCAATAACTTTTTTTTTTTTTTAATGGTTTTAGAATCATTAAAAAATAAAGTAGGCTTAGTTACACAAAAGAAATCTGGTCATTTTTGATAGAGTGTCATAACCCATATTCTGTACCTTACTATTCTTTTCTTCGTGTAGTATTTGATACATTTGAATAATATATTTTAAAATTAGCGAATGAATTTCAGGATAATTATTATTCATATCTGTTTCTTCTTCAACAGCAGTCAGTAAATGCTGACACATTCTAGCAAGGCCGCACATTCTGCTGTTATTACCTGAGGCTATATAAAGCTTTAATATCACCGAATAAGTCATAAATATTTTCCATCTTTACATATAGAATGCATCTCTTTAAATGCTTTTATTATTCACTAGGTTTCATCAGACCCCTCGAAATTTTACGAAACCTTCGTTTGAAATGACTCTGAGATCAGTATATTCATAAGCTGTAGTAATTAACTATGATGACACTCACCAACGATACCAAGGACTCGCTCGCCGAGGTACCGAGAAGAAAGCCAGGAAGGCCCCGCAAGCATGACCGAAGGACCCCGCGGACACTCTCCCCCATTGGACTAAACTTTGAGCGAACAGCCATTACAACACGCACATACACAGTAATATATAGACGGCCTTACCATCATGATAAGATAAGCTATCATACTTTTTTTTCCCAATGTAGAGGTTGGAGGGCGCAGCGCCCTCCAACTTTTTCTCAGTGGAGGCGCAGCGCCCTTCACCTGGAGTTGTGGTCTGACTGGACTCACAGGGCTCACAGGCGCGCCAGCTGCACCTCCACAGGCCACCTCTCACACAACATATATAAGACACATAGAGGACATACACTGTAAGACTCTGACGCTTTAGCGTCGGGGATCCCACTTATGAATAACGGTGAATGCTACTCTATTGGTTCAACGGCGAGAGTAAGCTGGGATAACGGTGAATGCTACTCTATTGGTTCAACGGCGAGAGTAAGCTGGGATAACGGTGAATGCTACTCTATTGGTTCAACGGCGAGAGTAAGCTGGGATAACGGTGAATGCTACTCTATTGGTTCAACGGCGAGAGTAAGCTGACATGTCTTTTTGGCTAGGTTAAGACCATCAATCCGGATTGAATGACATCAATCCGGGAGAGGTCGGGGTTTGAACTTGGGACCTGCGCGCTAACCGTTCAGCCAGGGTACCCGTATTCAATAATTGCTAACTGTCTTATAAATGTAACATATCAAACATGTTTTGTGAAGTGCTGCCATCTGTTGTCACTTTCTAATACTACGCATTTAGACGCAGTCAAGGTCGTGACGTATACGATAGAATAAAAAAAAAAAAAAAAAAAAAAAAGCACTTATCATTTCCTCAAGCTAGGAACACGTTTCACTCCAAGGTCATTTCATCAGCGTTCGATTCGATTTTTTTTTCCCCACGCGGGACGTTGAAAACGGAAACACGATCATAACAAATTGCGGGTAGTTATTTTATTTTTAATGCTACACAGCATTAAAAAATTACTCTAGGTTTAAGGTTCATTTTCGCTGCTATATCTATATAAATTTCTGTTGCATATGTTAGTTAGAAGGATGCAAATCAGTTTTTTATAGTGCATCTCGTAAAAGGCATTCGATAGTAAATGGTGTTTATAAGTCATCAGATGACAAAAGTCTATCTTATCCTGGTGTTCTAAGATAAACTCTTCGCTAAAGGTTTGATATCTGACAATTCGTTCCCATTCCAGCTGTTCTGCGAATTCCCTCATGAAATCTTCAGTGAGTGTTTTGTTGGAAGAGATAAGAACCATATCGATATAGTCTTTGTGCTTCCGCATGAAGTCTATGCTCAGTACTTGGTAGTGGGAAACTGTTATCCAATGCACTTTGCACTTTTGTATATGTTTATCGAGGAAAGGTTCTGTCATCTTTTGGTACCTGCAAGCTTGTTCCCAGTCTAAACTATAGGCATATTTGTCCATGAAGGGTTCCGACAATTTCTGGTATTTGGAGATTTCATACCATTCAACTAAACCTTCATGTTTTTCTATAAATGGTTCTGATAACGTCTGATACTG